TATTAAAAAAAATATAAAATATAATATAGAACTAAAAATAAATATATAATAATATAAAAAAAAAGTAAATTCTATTACAATATAAAAGATATTAATTTTTATTATTACACTTTTGCAATTTACTTATAAAAATTTAGATTTGTATAAAATATAAAATTTTTTTAATTTTGAAAATATATAAAATTTTAAAAAATTTTAAAATATTTTTAATAATAAAAAATTTTAAATAGAAGTTTTAAAATTTTAATGCATAAAAGTTTATTAAGATTTTTAAAAAAATTTTATAATAAAGTTTATAAAATATGTTTTCAAGAATATATTTCATAAGCAAAGTATATCTTATATTATCAATAAATTATTATTTTATTTAAAAAATACTAAATACAATTTAATTTTCTAGGCAAATTTGCCTGGAATACAGTTTAAAGAATAAATAATATAAATAATAACACAATTGAAATAATAGATAATAGTCAAATCTATTTTAAAGATATTTTTATTTTTATTTATTATTATACAATTTCAAGTTATCAATTATATAATATTTTATTATTATAAATATAAATGATACATTTCTATTAGAAAATAAGTGAACACTTAAAAGTAACTGTAAATATGGTCAAAGAGGTAGTAGGAAGTGTATAACAGCAATATTAAAGATTACTTAAAATGATTTTTTTGACAAGAAATATGAATAAAGTAGATGAATGTTTGCAAAAAATATGATAATGCAATTAAAACAATTAGCAGAAAATGGTGAAATTTCAGTAGACAAAGTGACAGAGATCAAAACAGTTGAAGATTGGATTATAAGGTATTTAGCATACTTACGTAAAGAATCAGCAGAACAAAGGGTAATAGGTGAATCTCATAATCAAAGTGGCCATCTCAAAACTAAAAAGATCTGAAAAAAATATTGAGTATAAACGACGAAAAATATAATTTTACGTTTAAAATTAATAAAATTTTGAAATTTACTATATTTTAGTCAAGCCAAATCTCGGCTTCCTTCATATAAAAATTTTTGTTATGGAAATTAAATTTATTTTATAATTTCTCTAAAATTTTTTTAGGTTACACTTTTTTGTGCAACTTATATTATAAATCACTCCGATTGATCGGCAGACCGGCAATTAACGCGTTTTCTCTTCGTTTATCTTAATTTCAATGTCTAATTACGATCCCAACGTTCATGTGCGACTTTTTCTCAATGATATACAAAAACGATGTAAAAGACTTGATAATATATATACGTTTGGAATACCTGAGTTTAGATTTTTGAGAGTTAGGTTCATATTGACGCGAGACTTAAAAATCTTTTGTTTAATGAGCAACATTAAATACAATATCATACTATAGAGTCCACGGTGTGATAGTAAAAAGAACTTCGGAAATGCTTATTATCGGTATATTTTCTTTTATTAACATCACATTATTTACTATATCTCTCGAATTATCTACCCGCGAGACTACTCGGTATTTTTATTATAATCTAAATAATGCTATTGATTTATTGTCAGATGACGCAACTGCAACTTGCCGTGTTAACCTTGGTTCTACTTTGCATAAGCGATTTGACATTGATAAATTATCTACTGGAACTTTGATAACGGTTACGGGTGAATTAAAAGAAACGGAAGGTCATCGTTGGATTGAATGTGAAGGGTATGTTACTATATAGATTATTAAGCCATTCTGTATACTAATAATAGCTTACATACTTTATTTTAGATATGATACCTACTATGAACCACACAGTGAACATATGCTGGCCTTGGAAACCATATCTATGTATAAGAATCATTATTTCAAGAATCATCTCAGAGGGAAACTATCGTTATAGCCTAATAGCCAATTAAAATGTATGGTTTACGTCAGTATAGCATAACGATTCCCAATGTTAAAAGTGTGATTCTAACTATTCTGATTGGATGGAATCAAACCATACATTGTATAAGCTAGGTTTATGAATAAAATAATAAATACTCTCTCTAATTTAAGTTATATGTAATGCCTAACGATAATTTAAGCCTCTGCACCACTTTCACCCACTTTACTGTGCCTACCTATTCTTTGCATAAATAAGACTACATAGTGACTCTTGATATAGCGTATTGTTTGGGCAATTAGAGAGAAATTAACTAAAAATCTGCAATATTATTATCGTTATCGCTACGAGTTTATTAATAAATTCATTATTGTTATCGTTATACGTATCAAGCAGAATATTTAGCATCCATTATACAAAGGGTCCGTTGTATTGAGAGTCGCTGTGTAATTATTTTGTATATTTATTAATTTGTAAGCTTTGAAGTTTTTTTTCATTTCTTAGTATTAGACGATTTTTTTTGAAAATCACGTAAGGCCATACAAACTTAATAAATTAACAAAAATTTTAAAAGTGCTGGCTTTTAATTTTATTTTCAAAAAATTATATATATAAAAGGAAATTTATTACTTTACTCAGTGCTTATACACGAATTCGTGTAATATATAAATTATAAAACAAAAAATTAATCTGGTTTAAAGTTAGGTCTGGTTAGCTTTAGGATTAGAAATGGTTTTGGGTTATATAAAATTTGGCAATATTTTTTGTTAAAATCCCAAAGTTGGTATATAATTAGGATTTTAAATATTAACATACTCTGTATGCATACATGTAGTGTATAAATAGAAATTGCTTTTTAATAAATATACAAAATCTCTATGCTATAACGAATAAAAAATCTAAATATTTTAATAACTACAAGGTCAAATAATATAAAATTTTATATATAAATAATTCAAAGTATTTTAATAAATTTTATTAATAGCACAAGATATGTTTATAGACTAATTTTTATTTATTTATTTTTTTATTAAACTAGCCTCTTTGGAATTAGGGTTTTTATTTAGTATTATAGAATACAGGAACTTACCTTAAAAATGTCATTTTACATTAGAGAGTACAACTAGTCATATGTACATTTTTGATGTCTAATTTAAGTAGTTTGCTTATATAGATTTTATACTAGTTGTTATATCTGCAACTCAATTATGAATATTGTCTATTTAAATTCTTATATTGCAATCTTTACTGTATTATTAAAACATCTTTGATATATATATCAGTTAAGAAGTTCTAAATGTTTATTTATACTTTTAGAATTTTATCTTTTTTTATATAATTTATTCTTAAAACATTATTAATAAAGTTTTTTATAATTTATTTTATAGTTAATTTAGTTTCAATCTTTATAATACAGGTTAAACAAATAAATAAAAGATGAATAATAGATAAAAAACAGAAAAAAATTTGTTATTATTCTACTCTATATTTGTTAAATAATAGCAGCATAACAACAACATAATAGCAAAATAATAGTAAAATAACAAAAGATTTGTTAATATAAGTAATATAATAGTAACATTATAGCAAAATAATAGAACTATTTTGTTATTTTATTATTATATTACTATTATGTTACTTATATCAACAAATCTTTTGTTATTTTATTGTTATTTTGCTATTATATTGTTGTTATTATTTGGCAGATATAAAGTAGAATATTAACAAATCTTTTTTTTGTTTTTGCTAAGGTTTTTGATTATCAATAACTACTATTTTTATTATAATTTAATTATAGTTATATAACTTGTACAAGATGAATATGCAACTAGTTATACATACATCTTTTAACTATTTATTTAAATAGTTTATCTGTAGGTTTTATACTAACTGTCATATTTGTAATTTGCTAAAAGATTATCTAATTAAATACTTTAATTTCTATATTATACTTAACAAATAGCATACAAGTTCTTATATATCTAAATAATATCTAACCTAACTCTAACCTCTCTGTTTGTATATCTATTAAACTGTTATATATTTTAGAATATATTATTTAACTGTAGAGCTTCAAAAAGCTCTTCTATTAACTAATTATCTATATTTAATCTTTTATTAATAGAGTTTGCTTTTGCAAAGTTTACTTAGATCTTAGTATCAACTTTATAGCATATTTCTAGTACTTATAATATACTTTTGCTTTATTTTCAAACTTTTAATTCAGATAGCTTAAAAGAACTATGCTCTGTTTTTGATATTCTAAAATTTTAGTTTCTAAAATCTTTTTTTTCTAATTTGAAATTCCTAATAGTCTGGTTGATAGTACCCCTTATCTAAAGTTTTTGCCTATCTAATTCCTCTACATTGGTATCTATTTTTAAAGTCTAGTTTTTACAATAATGCTATTAAAGATCTGTACTATCTTTCTATTAAGGTTTTCTTAAATGGATACTAGTTTCTTAGTTTTATAAATTTATATAACCACAAGAACTTATCTTAGATTTGCATTATCTAATGCTAGTTTGTATACTTTTGTATAACTTTAACATTGTACTGATGCTTCATGATCTGTTAATTATACTAATATATCTATAGTTATAATTATCTTATTCTAACTGATTAACATAATATTATTACTATAATAACATTTATATATTATATAAGTTATGATCTAAATTTTTATTATCAATAGGTTTTGAAGTTACAATCTATTATTTGAAGGATTGACAACTTATTTACTTTACTAAGTTGTTATATCTCTAATAATAATAGTTTTTTTTTTACTATTTATCTATTATTTATTCTTTATTTATTTGTTTAACTTATATAAAATTTATATAACTTTAGTATCTTTTTTTATAAATTTACTAATATTTTGTTTATTTTTATAAGTTTTTTATATTATTAATTTAATTAGTCTTGTATAATATAATTTTATATTTAGATTAACTAATAACTAGTTTAAGAACTCTTTCTGCAAATCCATTGCACAAAAATTAACTAAAAAATTTGTTCATCAAAAAATACTTATAACTATTTATTTTACTAAGACAATTTGTCTTGAGCTTTTAAATAAACTTGTCCAGCTCACTATTTTACATATATCTTGTAAATATCAAGTTTTTATACCTCAAACTCATCGAGAAAACTGTACTGACAGCTTTTAACTTTCAGTTAACAATTTTTAAGCATCTTGCAGTTTCTACTATTTTAACCTGTTCTATACTCTTAAGTAAAGTTATAGTATATATTTACTTGATCAAAACAAGCTCTAAATAAAGATTTTTGACCTAATATTGACTAAACTACAACTAAATTCAACATTTACACTCTTGCAAAGCTTATTTTTTTTAGCTTTTGTCCCTATCCTGTTCTTTTTCCCCTTACACAGTTTTCATATAACTATATAATCATTTCCCAATCTATATCTTATTAATTTATATCAATATTTTATAACCAACCTATTAATAGAAACCTATTTATACAATCAAGTACTTTCATATTTAGTTTTTATTAATATTATATAGTAATTTGTATTGCAAATCCTATTTGTGTTCAGTACCTGAGTCATATTAGTGACCCTATTTACCTTTGTTACACTTTTGTATCATTCTAGTGATACTCCTAAATTACAACTCTTGTATCTATTTACAATCCTTGTAAATTTAATTATTTACAACTATATTCTCTCTTTAAAAAATATATCTAAGTCTAAAATTCTTATTTAGCTTTTTATCTTTTAATAATGTCTATTTTAAGTTAACAAAAACCAGATATAGCAGACCTTGATTATTTCTATCAAAACTTTTTCAACAGTTTTGGAATTGCTCTCTATAAAGAGGATAACAATAACAAGACTTATTCAATTCTTCTCAAAGTTTAATCTACTTTCTACTTAACAAAAAATCTTTAATCAAATAAAATTACTCATTTTTTTAAAGTTTCTACCTCTATCTCTGTAATTACTTGCCTCTGTGGCAAATATCATACCAAATTTATCTCAATCTCAAATACTAATTATACTTAAGTTACTGAATTTACAATTGCTCATATTAATAACAATTTTAAAAAAATTAACAAAACAACTCAAAAACTTATGACTAATCTCTTATCTTTTATTAACAGTATTCCTTCATCTCCTATACCTAATATACATTACCATACTTGTTCTAAATGCTTTCTTTCAATTGGTTGTATCAAAAGAAATGAGTACTATTACGCTACTAAAAAATACATCTCTAAAAATAATAAAATCTATTATTTTACTTGTATGACTGGCTCATTTCAACATGAAGCTAGTTTATCCAAAACCAAGAAAAACCTTACATAAACCTTCCAAAATATCTTACATAAATCCTCTCAAACTACCAATCCTCTTATTGCCTCTTCTTACCAAATCTCAACTTTATCTGATCTTATCGATTCTTTTTTTTCTACAACTACTAATACTAATATTAACTCCAATCAACCACCTACTACTAATATTTTTGACACTTTCAATCTAAATCTTAATAAGACCAGTAATATTAACTAATCTGAAAATATTCTAAACAAACCTTCTCCTCAATTATACTCTAGTACCTTAAGCCAAAATCTAACTCTACATATAACTGGATTGCAAATTTTCCTATTATTAAAGAAATACAATTCAATAAAAAGTTATAAACTTCATTTTTTTTTAACTTTTCATCTTCCTTAAAAAATTTCTTTATGATTTCTATCCTGACAATGAAATTAAGCCAGCTACTGCTATATAACTAGCATTTAAAGCATCATTCTATTATATTATCTGTATTATAGTTGGACAACATTCTGAATTCTTAACTGACCTTATCTACAACAGCAATCCCAATATTGACAAAAATGCTACTATCCTTTTTGATCTTTTTGAATCTATCTTAAAAAACCTTATTCTTAAATTCACAACTATTCTTTTTACTAAGCTTAATTATCTTAAAATTTTTGTTTCATCAGTTAATATTCTTTTATATACAGCTCATAATCATCTTTAA